TGGCAGCTTACACAACATGAGACAAAGTCAGTTTAACTGGCAGACTTGAGAAGAAGAGAAGCGTGCTTCTCTTCCACAGGGGCACATCCGCCAGAGTGGTGTCTGCACCCAAACAGGAGTGCGGTAGGGTTCCCAATCAACCACAACTGCCCGGGGCGCTGACAGCTCCCCGCAGAGCACCCCTGGGTGGTGCGAGCTGGGCTTCCCATCGCTTGAGACGGCGTCAATTTCTAGGGAGTGAGATTGTTCCCCAGGCTTTGCCCGGTTCGTTCCCCTGCAGAGCTGGTTTCTTCACTCAGGTCACGGGTGCTCATTCGGAAATATGGCTGGACGCATGAGGGTTCCTGCCATGGGGACAGAGTGGCTCCTCTGTCCCTCCCCCTGGGGCAGCACCTGTGCCAGTTACACCAGTAATAACCTGCCACATTACAACAGGGATCTGCTAAGCCTTTTATTTAGATTTTCTGTGGAAACTTTCTTCCCTCCACCTCCTCTCCCACCAGCCCTGCCACAGTACAAAGCTGTAGCACTCGGATCCTTCACACACAAAATGCGTCAGCTCCACGGTGAGGCACGAGTGCCAGGTACTATGGGAGACCCAGGTTCAAGAATGAGTAGGCGTCTCACTCAGCAGGACGGAGAAGGAAAAATCAGGTGTTAATCAGAGACCTCGGGCTGGGAGCAACTCAGGCATCTTCTGGCGAGGTGCACCAGTAGATAAGGGCTCCCACGCCCCTGGCCCATACATCAAGTGTGGAGGAGACTCATGTTTAAGAGCCAGCAGGACTCCCACACATCAACTTGGTAGTCAGGTGCACCCAGAGTGGCAGATCTCGAAGGGTGGGTGTGGAGCAGAGAGAGCTCTCGAAGCAGGGAGCAGCTCAGATGCCTTGGAGGTTGCTGCTGGCCCAAGTTCAGCAAGAGCCAGCCGCGGCCAGCCTTTCTTTCATTGTGTTCCTTTCTGTAAGTGGGTGTCATGCCAGGTGTGACTTTCCTTTTGGGAACGCTGCCCCTGCAATCAGTAGAACTGGGACCTAGTTAGTCATCCGCACTCCACACCTGCCTGGCAGGTTGAAGCAAAGGAGACCCCTGGAGCTTTACCGAACAATCCACACGCTCTTATCTGGCCAGAGTTATTGTCTCTGACTGTGGGGAAAAAAAAGGAATGGAACAATGTATTTGCGCAGAGACTAGAGGGATGTATGCTACAGGCCAGACCAGGCCGCTCTGGACTCAGGGCAGACCCCCTGTTGACGTCAGAGGACACTGCATGAATAAGGAGCATACGACCCGGCCCTGCCGAAAGTTTACAAAGCAATTGAATGCGTTTCCCTTTATGACTAGGGGTGAGGGCAGGGAACCCTGGTCCACCGCATCCTAGTGAGCAACACCTACAATCAGACTGGCCCATCTCCGCCTCCCAGCCACACCAGCCCCCCCCGGGCAATGTACAGTGAACAAGCAGCAGAGCGTGTCCAGACCCATCCTGCGCCTCCAGGCAGCGTCTCCAGCAGAACCGGAACAGATGGGATCCCAGACAGACGCACCACAGAGCAGACCCAGCCGTTCTTAGGCCAGGCCTGACCTTTTCTCTTGGTGTTTGACTTCATCACATGGGCCCTGAATGCCCAGCCAGCATCGTACATCAAACAACTGCGCTCGTGCACAATCCCGGGCCCAATGCCGATGCCACATCGCTCCAAGGGCGGTTCCAGGCCCCCGGCTGTTAGAATCTGGCCCTTGGTTATTAGCAGCCTTGACTGAAGTACACTCATGGGCTCCAATCAAGCACTCCCCACAGCTGGGATCTGAACCTGGCCTCTTGGGAATTGCTAACTCGGGTTTCCCATCTCTCCTGGGATGGGACATCAGCAGACGCTGCACTTGCTCTTTGCTAGTAGACTCAGGTGGGCAAATCCCACACAATCAGTTTCCTGGAACTGCTGGGGGGCGGGGGGCATGGCTACACGGCGAGTGAAGGTAGCACAGGTAGGCCTACCCATGCCAGCTTCAATCTAGCTAGCACAGATAATAGCGTAGTGACTTCAGCACAGGTTAGCAGCCAGTGTACAAACCCTCTAGAGAACCTGGGCATATTCTCTGGTTGCTAGCTGTTCTGCCAGGCCTATTCTATGGTTACCCACGCTTGCTAGATGAATGCTAGCACAGGGATGGCTGCCATCTGTATGACAATCACACCTTCACTTGCACTGTAGACATGCCCTAAACCCTCTGCTTTTTCATGTACCTATCGGGTTAGGCCACTACCGGGGCCAGATATCAGTCTGTGAAGATCTGATCCAAATTGCAGATCCTACGTGCCTACTGTTTAGAATCAAAACTTCCCCTGTTTGGAGTTCTGGGAGTGTGAAAAGGAGTCAAAAGCGACCTCCAAGTTTTGCAGAAACAAACAAACACAGTTGCTCCTGGGAGGAGAACTTTCCTGAAGGCCACTGCCCCAGGAGCAGTACTATCCTGAGCTTTACATCCCTGAAAATAGCGCTGGCAATTGAAACACGATACGCTGCTAACAGCCTGTTCCCTGCAGCAGTCACAATGGCACCACTATTTCGGTGCCTACACACATTTTAGCCACCATCTGTATCATACATAAATACATGCTCATACACCAGCTGAGGGAACTTGAAGGGACAGATTTTCTGGGCTGGGGTGGGGTGCGGGGTAGATATCCATGGTTCCCTTGAAATTCTGTGGAGGAACGCAATAAGCAAATGGGTTGTTGTGCTCCTTTACCTAAGTGACTGACTAGGCCCCGGCATTAAAAGGGAGGAATACATTAACACAGGACCAGGAACAATGAAAACTGGGGTTCTCATCTAGGCCACTTACTTGCCATGTGACCTTGCGCAAGTAATGTAATTGCTTTGTGCCTCAGTTTCCCCATGTGTAAAATGTTCATCAGGAGAAAAGGTTAAACCATTTTCATCTATGTTGTTTATGCCACATACTCAACACCTAATGGCAAGATAAAGTCACCAACGCAGAGGTTCTTCAAAGGGCAAATTTACCAAATGTGACAGCCCTGCTCAAGCAAAGATGATTGCACTGGCTAGGTCATCTGAGTAGGTTGGAAGACGGACGCATACCCAAGGACATGCTGTACGGGGAGCTATCAGAGGGAACAAGAACAACAGGATGTCCCAAGCTTTGCTATGAAGATACATGCAAGTGAGATATGAAGGAATTTGGAATTGATCCTGACTATTGGGATTGTAACAAGTGGAGCCTACATTTTGAAGAGAAAAGAGCCCGTAGGAAGCGAGCAGCTCCCAACCAAAACAGACATTTGCAATAACTCTCGGATTGGACTATTCAGTCACACGAGACATTGCAAACCATCTACAGCCTAGGCTGCGGTTCCCACCATCTCTTGCAGACAAAAGGATGCCAACAAAATGGGGAGACCACCACCTACCTCACAGGGATGTGTCAAGACTCACTTAGTGTCTGTGAAGTGCTTGGAGATCCCTGGGTAAAAGGATGCCATAGAAACACTCGTTAATAAATGCAGGTTTTTGTCACTGAAGATAGGTTTGTTGCAAATGGTGTGTGCATATTCTGTAGGCCCCTTGGAAAGGTTGGCCTTCGGAGTCTCAGTATCACACTTACCTAGTGGACGTGAGGCCAGCCTCCATGCTGCACAACATAGTTTCACCCTGACTTCCACCCATCCTGCCCCCTCCCACCATCTCCCTGGCATAGTCCAGCAAAGTATCTCACAGCCTTGAGCAAGGAAAGCTTTTTCCTTGGCCAGGCCAGCCAGCAGAGCACCTGGCCCTGGGAATGGTTAGAGGCTGCAGGAGGTTCTCTCCCTGAATAAACACTGGCTTTCCCCCCCAATTCACAACCCGAGAGTGCTCCGAGGTTCATTTCCCATGGCACCGACTGAGCTAGTGGCACGGACCCAAATTGCCGTTTGCATGATGAAAACCAGGCAGTGGGGGAAGGTCAGCGCCAAATGAAGCCCGAACACCAAAGCAGGAAGCGAAGTCCTACGTTTTCTGTTTAACTGCTTGAATTAGGGACAGGGAGACTGTTTGCCTCATTCCAAACCCACCCAAACTTTAAAAGCTTGACTTGCTCTCGGACACCATCCTGCCTGGGAGAATGAGAAAAAGGAAGAGATTCCAAGGGGAAAAATAAAAAGGCGAAGTCTACGTGGCATGTACTTGCTCCAGCCTACCTTTCAGAGGGCTCTGCTTATCTTCATAGGAATGAAACCAATAGTGTTCAACAGAACTTGAACAGAAATCACTATGGAAGCCTATAGTCTTTAATACACAATGATCTCCTTTCTGCAGGCTTTTAGAACCATCCTACAAAATGCTGTAGCAGGAATATTATTTCTATTGACATTGCATCTTGGAGCCCCATGGTGCTAGGAGCTGTACAAACACAGAACAAAAGCCAGTTCCCTGCCCCAAGGAGCTTACAATCTGAATTACCGCCGTGTTCTACAGAACTTTATCTCTAAGATGGTAGCACAGTTCTCCCTTTAGAAGTGGTTCAAAGAACTCTGACCAGCTGTGTGAGGCCCGGACCCAGAGGGTAAAAGCAGCCCTCAGAACACTGACATTCTCTTACTCAGGGTCTCAAACAGATGGCAGGAAGAGTGCAGCTTGGGTTAAATTACCTGCCATCTCACCTAACCTCTGGAACTGCTGGCACCATGGTTTAGTACCCAGGGATCTCTCTGGGGTGTGGTGGGAAGGAGGGGGAATGCCAGCCAAAAGACACACATCATCAGGCCTAACTTAACCCATTTGTACAGCACCTCACACAATCCAGGTCCGGCCCACTCCTGCAGCTCCTAGGCACTACCGAAATACAAGCAAAAATATAAATAAATAATATGACCTTCAGATGCAAACTGGGAAGCAGGGTAGTTGCTATGGAGAGCAATCCCCCCTCCCCCCGCACACACACAGGATTTATAACACAGACAACAGCGAGCGCTGCATTTGCTGGCGAGCAGACAGCTTGGGTGCAAAAGACCCTTGGCAGAGCCACCTGGGTTATTTTTGGAAATGAAACACGCAGACCGTTTCCTGTCTGCCCAGAGAGAACAAACAACCCAGCACTCAAACCTAGAGGCTAGCAAAGCCCAAACTTAAAGGGAAATCGCTTAGGGAAGGTCTGAGACTTTGTCACAATTTCCACCACTTGGCTGTCCTGTCTTTCTCCAAGCAGCACAGCGAGCAATGCCCTTGCCAAGGTATCCCAGCTCCTAAAACAGGGGAGCCTCGCCAGCACAGCAAAGTTCAGGAGAGACCCCGGAGAGCACCGTGGATTCTCCTTCCTTCCTGGCACTTTGGGGGAGGTCGGAGAGAGACTGGAACTTCACCAAACCAGCGCACTGGCCACACATCAAGGGACCACCTCAGGGTCCCAGCAGCCGCCGGGGGACTCGCTCCTAGGAACGGCATGAAGCCTTTCACCCGGGGAATTCGAGCCTGCCTTAGACTATCCAACCCGTGCCGAGCCGGGGAAGCCCACCCAGCTCCAGGTAATGGGATTGTAAAATACTGGCAGAGAGGGTACTCACTCGCCTTGCCCTTCTGAAGCGGCGCTCCAGTCCTGCCATCTCCTCTCGCATTCCCTTTCAGTCTCACCCCAGCTCTAGCAGTGCCTTTCCCATCTGGAGGCTAAGTGGTAATTAATCAGCAGGAGCCCTCACCAGCCTCGCTGCCTGTGTTACTCTGAATGAAGTAGGATTAATTGACACCACCTGGGAACAGCAACCTGTGCCTTCACCCTGCATTGCTGGCTCCAGAGGCTGCCCGGGGACGGGTGTGCCACCCACCCCCCAGCCCTAATTGTTCTTTTTCTAGCCTGGCTTTTATTATGCATTCCCAGGAACCCCACTGGGTTAAGGAAAGGCTCTGGGTTTCTCCCGCTTCCCTGGGACCTGTCCACCATTACCTTTAGTTTGGAGGGTTTCCAGAGCAGATCTGGACACATTTTACAGAAATGTGCCTTTTCCTTTCCCCGCCTCAGATGCTGCTGGCCCTCCTCCAGCTTGATCTTTCTCGTGCGTTTCCAGAAAGGCTTTCCCTTCGAGAGCCGAGCCCAACGAGTGATTCTTCAATGCCTGGCGATGGGCTAACGGCACCAGCACCCCCATTTAATGCATCAGGAGTTAGCCACACCCATGCCGCCCACAGGGCCTGAATCCCAGTGACTCCCTAAGGGCATGTCTACACTGCGCACTAAGCCCTGGTTCTGATTCAGGCTTGACCCCAAGCCCCTCTTGGGCCCACACACTGATCAGCCTGACTCAGGACCCAGGTCCTGGGGCCCCACTAGATGGGCGGGTCAGAGCCCAAGTCCCGCTGTGGTGTTCCCAGCCCTGTCGTTCTGCAGTGTGGCCGCAGCTCAGGCTGCAGAGCGCTCCATAGCCGTACTGCACTACGTTACCAGAGCTGTGAGACCCAGCAACTGTGAACCCAGCTTTACAACGCAGTGCGGACGCTCAAGAGTGGGGTTAGACGCCTGAGTCCATGAGCCTGGGTCCCATTGACCTGGGCTTAGTGTGGTAAAGGCCCCCTATGCTACCCCATGGGCAAGGGGTCTCCCTGGCCATTCGAGAGTTGGGACGGTGCCTGTGTTACCCCTGTTCCTTAGCTCCCAGCGTTATGGGTGTGGGAAGGGGCAATGCCATGGGCAAAGTGCACTGCACTCCAGCTGTTCTCGGCATCCCACAGGGGGGCCATGGGGAAGAGAACCTAAACTAGAGCAGCCCAAAGACCACCCCAAAATATGGCACGCACAAAGGTGGCTTCAATGAACCTTCACCTTCTCTGCTGCTCTGGTCCCAGGGGCTGAGAATCTGGGCTCCAGGCTGCAGTTTGGAGTTGGTGCCAGTTTGGTTCCTAAAGAAAACCACTGATCTTTAAAAAGAATTGTTGCCAAGCCTCTTTCGGAGCACTGTCAGCTATAGATCGGGTAACGACTGCCCGAGCCCGTACCCAGGAAACCATACAGCAGATAAATCACTTCTCTGCTGCCTGTAAATAATGGAACATCGGCAACAGCAGGAATTCTCATATGTATCCTGGCTAACCCAGCCCCTGGGGCCTGCCAGCATTAATGGGGGTACCTTACCCAGTCCTACACCACCACTGCTGGTGGAGAGAGGGTGATCACGCGCATCTAATTTCTCCATCAGCAGCCGTTCCAGCCCGGCTCTCGACACATGGCGGAGAGCGAACGAGACAGGTAATTCTGCAGAGCATGATACAAGGCAGTCACATTGCTAGCTGACAGGGCCCTTAGCCCAGAGATCGTGGCAATGGAATGAAATGTCACAAGACAAAGGTCGCCCGCTGTGAGCTAAGTGTGAGGCAAGTCACCACGCTCATTTTCAGAGACATTGATTCCAGAGCATGGTCTTTATTTAGTTGCTCTTAACGATGCATGAGGCCGGTTCCTTAGTGGATACTGCAGCATTACAGGGTAAGAGTTGCTGAGAATACTGACATTCTGATTGGTAAGGAGAAGAGATTCCATGGGCCACATTTTCAAAGTTCCCCAATTCTGGAGCCAGATGGTGGGGAATCAGTCGCTGGCATTGGGTTAAAGCAGCCTCAGGGATTCTCTAACAACCTTTTTCATACTCGGACCCCCCATTTCATCCCCCCCCCCTTTTAACAATATGAGAAAGGAAATCACAACCACCCAGCCTAACACCTGTTTACAACCCTGAGGTTGACCCCCACCCTGTGTCTTAAGCCAGGCTGCCTACAGCCTCAAGGAGCAATTCCAGCAGCTGGGAATAGCTGGAGCAGAGGGACGCCCTGGCCCCACCCCCTTCTCCCCAGCCACATCCTCCATGCAGGGCAATTCCTGGCTGGCCACATCTACTGGGACGCTGGCTCCTTTAGGTACAGCACAGCAGCTTAGAATGGTAGTAGCAGAAGAGACAGTCAGGCCCTACTACGGCATCCTACAGCAGTGAACACTGAAAAATAATTGTGTCTGTTTAAAAACCTCCAGTGAATAGTTACATGTTCCCGTCAACCCCACCTGTGGTTAGTCATAGAATCTCAGGGTTGGAAGGGACCTCAGGAGGTCATCTAGTCCAACCCCCCTGCTCAAAGCAGGACCAATCCCCAGACAGATTTTTGCTCCAGATCCCTAAATGGCCCCCCTCAAGGATTGAACTCACAACCCTGTGTTTAGGGGGGCCAATGCTCAAACCACTGAGCTATCCCTCCCCTAAGAAGCTGCTTAGCCGGATGGAAGGCTTATGGAAACGATATATTTATTGCAAATATTTTGAATTCTTAATCACGATTGCTCACCCTGGACAGCAGGGTGATGCTAAGCCAACCAGGGAAAAGAAACGTGCCCTGGGCCTGATTTGCCGAATCAGAACAACTGAAAAGTCAGGATTTCATGCATGGAAATGATTGAGAAAATCATTTCAAACAATGAATAAAAATCAGTCCAAGACAGAAAATGGCAGATTTCATCAAACACATGACATCTGAGGACTTCTTAGCCCAGATCTGCTGCACATATGTCAGCTGCCTCCTGGTCAATCTAGCAGCTTAAGATTTTGTATTTGCACCCATCAAAATAGTCTCCAAAGTCGCTGGCTTTTAGCCTGAAATAAGCAAGTCTGTCCCACTGCAATGTTTTAATGCGAATACGTTCTGCGTCAGTGCCAAGCCAACCAGCTATCTACAAACGCCTGACCTAACCCAGGTATGTATTGTATCTGAACTGGCACATCCATATTTATCCTCTGAAAGTCCTACTTCTGAGGGTAGTCGTCATCCCATAATTAGCCAGTGAGCACTCAGGAATTTTCAGGATGGTGTTTCCTTGTGTGACATCATTCAGCACAGGCACCAGGCATGGCTTCAGACCGGAAGCAAGGTAGCCTGAAAGTAGCAGAAGCTCTCCAAGTTTAGTCGTTTCCCCTCCACCTTTCACTGGATAATTTATTCTGGCCTAGAACCTGTCAGCAGCAGTCATGTGAATTCTGGCCATCACGTGGGTCAGGGGAAGAGGAGAAGGCGACTCAGCTGACACGCTCCCACGTCTCTTGAGACCAGAGAGGACGAGACAGCTGGCAGTAGAACCCACCGCGTGACATCCTCCAAGGTCCCAGCCAATAACATACAAACTGATCCCGAGTGAGGCAGTGCTGCAGAGAGCTGCTGATCCAAGGGGAGCCGAGATTGTGAGGGGGTAAAACATGGGGAGCGTAAATAGAGGGGGAAAGAAGCGAGAGTGAACAATACACATGGCTACACAGCCTGCTCCATATGTGCTGGGATCTCATTGGCCCCAAGTGTCTCAGAAGTATCTGCAGAGAGAGGCGGCTTGGAATTGGCTATTGAAATTCTCAGGCTTCTTATTGTGCCAATTAATCACCTGGGCCTTGTCTTCTATTGAGACTGCAAGCGCTTCAGGGCGGAGAGTGGATGGTAGGTTTAGGCCCGGCCCTGCAAGGTGCAGAGTGCCTTCAACTCCTGCTTATTTCAGTGGGAGCTGAGAGCAGGAAGATGCTTGTCCCCTGAGGGATTGGGTCCCTTGGGCCAGCTCCTGCTGGAACCCATGGAAGGTTTGATGGACTTTGCTGGGAGCAGTAGGGGCTCAGCACCTTTGAAAAAAAAATCAGGCTTTGGGTCTGTAAAGCATGGTGTCAATTCCAGCCCCCTGCCAGTGATCTTTTCATGGTACATGCGCTAGTTGTTCGCTCATTCAGTGCTCAAGGGGTATTGGCTGAAACAGCAGGTTTCAAATATCTAGCCACCCTGCAACAAATCCAAATACTAGCTGGGTTAACTGAGCCCTTTATCCTACAAAGGCAGATGCGCTGTGCTCGAAGCAGTTTATGGAGGAGGGGATCCTCTCAGAAGAGACCTTAAGAAACACATTCCTGTCTTCTCTTTGTAGGTACCAAGGCTCCCAGGGAACTTTGGAGAAGAGCAAGGGAGGGACAGTAGCAGCCTTGGCATTATTATTTGTATGCAGCAGTCCCACGCAGGCCGGGGGCTCCTTGTGCTAGGAGATGTACCCAGAATGGAAGAGAATCTCTGCCCCAAACAGAAACGGACAAATAAGTAGCGGTTGAGAAGCTGAACATTTTTTCCTCTCTCCACACTGTCGTGCAGCATGGTGTTCTGGGTGGCCATTGTCCATCCCACAGGAGGCTGCATCTCAGGGTTCTTAGCTACATCGTTTGTGAAGCCTTTGGCATGAGACGTGCCAACAGGAAATGCAAAACACTTTCCCTTTGTTTATTTTTGTGATCTATTTGCGGAGAAGAAAGGATTCCCACACGGCAATTGCTCTAGTACAAGGGGGTGTGATGTTTTATTATTGCCATCGTGCGTATTTTATCTGAGCGCTCGGTGTGTCTCACCCTTCTCTGGGGTGCTGCAAGAAAGCGTGAAATCTATTTCAACATCCTGCCCGGGCCGCAACTCAGAAAGTGAAGATGTCCTGAATATACAACCCTCTCCCAAAACAAGTGGCAAAAGGTCTGGCTCCAATTACTGGAGTCCACAGGTGGGAGTGGAAAATGGTTACACAAGAGCAATACAAAAATAGAGATGGGAGAAACCGAATCTGCTGAGCAATGGGAGGTCATTTAATAGGAGATGCTTGTGACTGTGTGTACTACCACTGGAAAATACCCCAGCTCCAGCTCAGGTCACCTCTGTGGCTCTATTTATACTGATGTAATTAGCAATGCCATATTCAGGTAGCACAGCTCAAGGGAAAGCTCACACAGGGAGAGCCATTCTGTTTGGTCCCTGCATATGGACTTGTACACACTGGATTTGAAAATAAAGTTAGTAATTAAAATCTGCACTCACAAGCTTCCTGCCGGGGAGTGACAGACACAATACCAGAGCCCAGGGGCACAGCTTGTCTATCAGGTTCCCTTCTGCATTAAATAGCTTGTTTAAGTCAGAAGCGGATCTGCGCCAAACTCCGGATCTGAACTTCCAGGCGTTTGGATTCTGAACCCAGGTCTGACTTGCACAGTCAACTCTGGCTAATCTAATCCATTTTGGCATTTACACTGGGCTCATCATAGCTAAACCAAGGTCTCCAAGCAACCCTGTGCTTGGTGGGGTTAAAAAAAATAAATCAGCTAATTAGAGGAAGAACCTCAAGCTGTGAAAGTCAGAGCCAGCTCCAGTGGTGGATGCCCAACAGCTCCAAAGCTCAGAGCCTGGGGCAATTCAGGATTCCCTTTCCTTTAGCAGGGCACACAGCAGCGTTAACATAAAAGCAAAATCCAGAGAGAAATTAAAGCTCAGAGCCAGACGTACACCTACCAGTGCATTGAGCAAATCATCCTTTCTGCACCCTGCCCTTTGGCAGGTCCAGCCCCATCATTTCTCTCTCTACCTCAGTGTCCCTTTCTTTTTTTCTTCCTCCTTTCCTGGGCTGTCTTCCCTTCCCCCGTACCAGGACAACCTCCTCCTGCAGCACATACTGTGGGACTAGCCTCATGGAGAGCCACAGTCATGACTTCTGGCAAAATGGCTCGCCTCCTCTCGGAGCCATGGGATCCCATCTAGCCTGAACTTGCCCCCGCCGACACTGGGCGCCCATCGGGGTACCCCAGGGGCAAAGAGCACATGGACTGAGCAGGAAGAGGTGGTGAGAGGAGGCGGGGTGGCGATGGGAACGGGAAAAGGAGAAAGGTGGTGGCACTGGAGGTGCAGAATGCAGGATGGCTGGGAGTGGGAGACGAGGAAGGGGGTGGAGTGGCGGAACGGAGGGGCTGGTAGGAATGGGGCAGGCAGAAGGATGGCAGAGGCACTCAGGAGGGATGGGGTGAAGTGGACGAGGAAGAGGAAAAGCAGGGTGAGGCAGCTATAGCAGATTGGAATGGAGGATGGGGCTAGTGCAGAGGTGAGCAAACTATGGCCCACGGGCCGCATCCGGCCCGCAGGACCGTCCTGCCAGGCCATTGAGCTCCCGGCCGGGGAGGCTAGCCCCCAGCCCCTCCCCCGCTGCTCCCTCCCCCGCAGCCTCAGCTCGCCATGCCGCCAGCGCTCTGGGCGGCTGGGCTGCAAGCTTCTGCCGGGCAGCGCAGCGGGTGTGGCTGGCTCTGGCCAGGTGGCGTGGCTGCCAGTCCTGCTGCTCTGAATGGCATGGTAAGGGGCAAGGAGCGGGGGGGTTGGATAAGGGGCAGGGGGAACTGG